GCCTTCTCTTCTGCAGCCTGAACACCCCCAACTCTCTCAGCCTGTCCTCACAGGAGAGGTGTTCCATCCCTCTGATCATTTTGGTGGCCCTCCTCTAGACCTGCTCCAACAGGTCCATGACTTTCCTGTGCTGAGGGCTCCAGACTGGGGTCTCCCCAGAGCGGAGTTAGAGGGGCAGAATCCCCTCCCTCAACCTGCTGGCCATGCTGCTTTGGATGCAGCCCAGGATGTGGTTGGCCTTCTGGGCTACAAGCTCACACTGCTGGCTCATATGCAGCTTTTCATCCAGCAGTACCCCCAAGTCCTTCTCAGCAGGGCTGCTCTCAATCCCTTCATCCCCCAGCCTGTACTGATACCAGGGGTTGCCCTGACCCAGGTGCAGAACCCTGCACTTGGCCTTGTTAAACCTCACAAGGTTCACACGGGCCCATTCCTCGAGCTTCTCCAGGTCCCTCTGGATGGCATTCTGTCCCTCAGGCATGTCAATCGCGCCATTCATTCTGTCCCTTAGGCATGTCAATCGCGCCATTCTGGTCGACACCACTTGGTGTGGTCTGCAAGCTTGTGGAGGGTGCACTCAATCCCACTGTCTAGGTCATTGATGAAGATATTAAAGAGTACTGGTCCCAACACACACCCATGAGGGACACCACTCATCACTGATCTCCATCTGGACATTGAGCCGATGATCGCTGCCCTCTGGGTGCGACTATCCAACCAATTCCTCATCCAACCAACAGTCCACCCAGCAAATCCAAATCCCTCCAATTTAGCGAGATGGGTGTTGTGGGAAACCACGTCAAAGGCCTTACAGAAGTCCAGATAGATGACATCCATAGCTCTTCCCTTGTCCAATGATGTGGTCGCTCCATCATAGAAGGCCACTCGGTTGCTACCTTTTTTAAAAATGGGTGCAATGGTTCCCTTTTTCCAGTCTCCAGGGACTTCACTTGACTGCCAAGACTTTTCAAGTATCATGGAGAGTGGCTTAGCAACTACATCAGCCAATTCCCTCAGTACTCTGGGATGCATCTCATCAGGTCCCATAGACTTGTGCATGTTCAGGCTCCTCAGGTGGTCTCAAACCTGATCTTCTCTCACAGTGGGAGGGACTTTGCTTCTCCAGTCCCCGTCCTGCAGTCTATC